GACGCGGCGTGGCCATCCAGGTTTGGGATCTCCACCCTCCCGTCCTCACGCACCTTCCCGGCGTGGAGCTTCTTGAGCGCGGTCACCATCGCCGCCTTCGGGATGGGGTGGGTGATGTTGGGTCTGTCCCGCATCTGTAACCGGCTCAGAATGTGTCTCTTCACCGCCTCCAGCAAATCCACGTCCACCCGTGTGGCTCCATCCGTCTGTCTGAGCCCGCAGGACGCGCAGCTCGGGGATTCGGTGTCCGGTGCCGGTGTGCAGCGGATGGAGATGAGGATGGACACAAAACAAAGCACTTCGAATATCAAGCTTTTCATCTTCCGTGATAATAAACAGCAGTTTCCGAGCGGATACGAGAGCTGATGGAGATGAAAACGGCCAAGTTCGTATCCGCCTCCGTCTCTCCCCCCCCAAAAACAGTGATACTTAAAAGTGAAATAACTGTAATATCCACTTTTAGACGAGGTCCGGTCCGAATTAAACGCAAACGCAGTAAATCCTGTAAACGTCTGGAATATGCTCCTGCGGTTGATTCTTGTCTTTGGTGACTCCGCGATGATTTCGACACAATTCGGATCGATATCACAGTAAGAACGGCTCGTCACACCATCCGAATCTCTCAAAGTTGATAACAAAAAATATGATGTGTTAATAATAAAGTAACTAGAGCTCTTGATATCTGTCCACGTACAGCCGCGAATGGCACTTTTACGCACGCGTCTGACGCGTCATGGCATGACTGGAAATCTCAGCATTACGCGTGCAAAACCCCACAGACTAAACAAAGGACCTGTTATGATTTGTCCCTGTGATTTCTTCACTCTATCGAGTTAAACTCATCCATGGTGAAGGGGAGCGAGCGTGAACCAGTCAAAGAAGGAGCCCCCAGTTTTCCAAACAAGCATTCGCCTTTTTAGTTCTTCAGCTGAAGATCGTGTCCTCCTTTGTTGGACATTTTGACTTCCAGTGTTCGTTTCCAATATACGTCTTCATCATAGCTCTCTCTCTCTCTCTGTGTGTGTGTGTGTGTGTGTGTGTGTGCGGGAGCTTCGGCTTGTTTCTCGTGCGAACAGACATTGTGCCGCTTTTGAGCCTCTGGAAAGTTTTTTATACGGGACTGAAGAACCACGTGGGACGAACCACCAGCTCCAGAATTATAAAGGTTGAGAAAGCTCGGGATCTTCAGGGAAATGTGTAAAAGTAAAATTACATGCAACATATAAATGTCATAAGCAATATATATAGCGTATATATGAAGTGTAGCCTAGATGATGTTCATTTTGCAATGTGCAATGGCCCAAATTTCAGTAGATGTGTTTATTTAGATCAGATTCTTATTAAAAGAAAAGAAAAAACACACTTTTTACATTTGCTATAAGTACAAAAGACAGCATTTTAGGTGATTATGGATCATTTTGTTAAATCTAGGTCAAATATTTCTGCTTACAAAAGCGAAGGACGAAATGTGGGTCTGGAAAAGATGAAGCATCCCCTTTGAATAAAACAGTAGGTTTCAGTCAATGAAAGCAAATGAGCAACACTTGTAACTGGTTTGAGTGAATGAAGGTGTGAACTCGTAAACTGGTTAAGCAGGCGCCAGAGAAGCTCGTCTAAAGAGCACTGACTGGCTCTCACAGACCAGACCAGAGCCGTAAGCCGATTTTTAAACAGAATAATGTTGAAAAGGGGGTCTTTTATAATAAACAGCAGTTTGGATCAAAATTAAATTTAGTTTTAGTTTTGTATAAATACACAGTCATGTGGTTTATGACTGATATCGCCTCACTGATGAAATTTAAAGTTGTAAAACAGCGCCCCCACTCGATAAATCACACAAAATAGGCCCTGCGTACTGTTTACATTTATAAATGCAGCAAAATTACGCATTGTCCAAAATATTAAATATTCAGAAAAATGCGCAATTTACATAAAATATAGGCAAAAATAATATAAATATTTAAAGTTGCAAATGCTTTGCAAATAAATTTGACACTTAACATATTTCAAGCTTTAACTATGAATATATATATATATATATATATATATATACTGTGCATATATAAATTTACAAACTCTAATAGGGAACAATATGCATATGCATATATATATATATATATATATATATATATATATATATATATATATAGTGTTCCCTATT